CTGCAGACGACTTGGTACCTAAACGAAAAAGCACCGCATATGTTTGGAATTATTTTGGATTTCGACGTTCTGATGTACTTCAAAGGCAAGTACTTTGTAAAACCTGCCGAACGTCTGTGTCGACCGCGCGAGGCAACACAACCAACCTGTATCAGCACCTGCAGAACTATCACAGACAAATCTATGATGAATGCATGGCCAAAAGGCCCACCGATGAACACACTTCGTCACAACCACCGCGACTGACATCCAAGCAAACTTAAATTGCTCAAGCGTTATAAAGTGGCACACACTGGTGCAGTCGGTCTCGTATTTTCTTTATGACCGCGAAAAGAACTAAAATATTTCGTCAGTTTTGATCGTACAGATAAGAATAAGGTATCGTTTGAAACTGCAAAGGGTCTACTTTTATTTGTGTATAGTTATAATAACAACAAAACAATGTGCTTTTGTAAAAAAAAAGAAAAATAAACAGGGTGCGTTCTCCGCCGTCTTGGTCTCTGTCTCCTCTCTTCACAGACATGTAAATAAAACAACCTGAATCTCAGCGAATACTTGCCTCAAAGACATGAGAAATATATGTATAGAAAGCCTGAAATGTCTACCTTTAAATTAACTAAGTCAAGTCCAAAACAAATATTCTCTGTTAAAGTAATCCGTATGAAACATACGCGATGTCCAGTTTTCCCGTCTCAACTCATTATATCTAATGCGGTCATGCCCACGAGCCGATCGTACTTTTCAGATTCTAAACATCCACGTGAGACGCGCACGCATGTAAACGCCCACATCGCCTCCGCGTAAACAAATGTGAAAAGTTCATCCTGGCTACTTTTTGTTTCTGCAAGACGACGCGCTGAGAGAAATAACCCAGAATTTATCTCACAACGCAATGCGTCGCGCAGCTAGATCCAGTGGAGAATATCACTCTGATGAGTAGCCTAAGATTACTTGCATCTGTTGTTGTTGATATTGTGACATAACTTGTACACATTTTACTAGTTGGACTTTTCTAATTCCTGACTACATGTTTGAAATCAAGTGAAACATTTTGAAATATGTGATATTTCATTGTCTAAATGTCTCACAATGCCAGGATGTTTGCTTAATGTTTTAACATATAAAACCACAAGATATAAAAGTAGTGTGTGTTAACACTATGAATGAATGTTTGGCACAAAGGTGTGTTACTGTTCAAGTCTCAGTGTTCAGATCAGTATG